AACAATACATAGCCAATTTAAAACATTGGCTAAAAATTGTGTAACCAATATTGGTCCAATATTGTTGAATCAATATTGGTCTAATATTGTTGAACCAATATTGGTTAAATATGACTAGGCGTCTACCTTACAATATTGGACCAATATTACAGATTAAATTTTTACCCAATATTGGCTAAATATTGGTTGAACAATATATAGCCAATTTAAAACATTTGCTAAAAATGGTGTACCCAATATTGGTCCAATATTGTTAAACCAATATTGGGCCAATATTACAGATTAAATTTTCACCCAATATTGGCTAAATATTGGTCAAACAATATATAGCCAATTTAAAACATTGGCTAAAAATGGTGTACCCAATATTGGTCCAATATTGTTAAACCAATATTGGTCCAATATTGTTAAACCAATATTGGTTAAATATGACTAGGCGTCTACCTTACAATATTGGACCAATATTGGGTGTGCAATTCTTATTCAATGTTCATTATTGGCTGTAAATTTATTTCCCAATATTGCGCCAATGTCTTGTGCTACTAGGGAACTATGCTATTAAATAAAAAATATATATATCATGCTTCTCTCTAGTTTAATATATCATTTCGTAAATTGTATAATAGATAACGATGTGTTTTGATAAATTTCTTTGTGCAACAAGCAAGTTATTATTAGATATTAATTCAACAATATCTAATAAATAAATAAAAACAGAATATTCCTGATTTAGATTTAGCATAGAATAAAATGAAGAAGAAAGGATATAGGATAGCTGCGAAGTTTTAATTACCCTAATGAGCCTAATCTATTCGAGTGTAAAATTAATGATTCCTACGTTACAGTGAACTTTGAGATATATCGTTGTACATATTAAAGATTAAAGAACAAAAAAGCACTTTAACTTGAATATTATTGAATATTATTATATTTGAATATTATTTGATAACAGTTGAATATTATTATATAATATTATTATTCAATCTTTAGAAATTAATATTAAAGTTCAATAAATCTTATAACCTCATTACATTTATTTTTTAATATATATAATAGATTCTCGACAAAATTTTTTAATTAAATCTTTTGATAGAAAAATTATATACATATATAAGGATCATGATTTATCGCAACTTTTCTCAACAATTCTTTAATATTAAATGTCATAATAATTAGACATGAGATTACAACTTTGTTGAAGTAAAATCCACTTAAAATTAATTAAAGAATAGAATATTGTTACTCATTTTTAAATTTACGAAATTTAATTTATATAAATTCTTTAATGTTCTTCGTAATTTAAAATTATAAATATTTATTATATTCTCTATTTAATAAAAATATATTTTTAATAACAAAATTTTACTCACATTTATTCGAATTAAAGTTAATTAAAGTTAATTATTATTGTTTATTAATATTATTACTCTATAATCTTACAAAATTAAACATCTACAAAATATAAAGATACACAAAATATAAAACTAAAATTATTATATTATTCTAAAAAAATTATTTTATTGTTTTAAATAAAATATTACGCATATCATAGTATTAATCATTTCACAAAATTAGAAAGTTAAACAAGATATTGATTTTAAAAAGTTAATATGTAATATAAAGCAATATAATTATATAGTATTGTTTCATGTAGTTTTTGCACCGCAAAAAGTAGGTTTTGATCTAATAGATATGTAGGTAATTGTTCTTTCACTTCTTCCCTCCTTTAACTTTTTCTTTCTCACTCACACACACGCGCGCGCGCATACACACACACACACACACATCCTTAATTAACTTTTTTATATTAGCACGTACGATTCGAGGTCTCTAATCTCAACAAAAATTACACTCCTCGACATATTCTATCCTTAATCCGCTATTACTAGAAACCTGTTGCCCGATATTTAGTAAAACGTGTAAAATTCGATTCACTTTTAGCAATATTTTTGATGTTTTATCTTTGTTGCACTCGCTGTTTAATCTATTTTACCGAACCATTTTTAATGAATTAAAAATTACCATCATTCAGGTGCACGGAAATCAATTCGAACGAGACAGAATCTCGATATCTCTTTCCCTCACGTTCTTTCCCTCTCTCTAGAGAAACTATAAATAAAAGGAGGCAGAATTGCGCGCGGTGGTGGAGCATGCTGTCAATACCAAAGTTTGATTAACCGATTTAGCGAGGAAGCTTGGTTATATTTTGAATTAAACTCCACACGCACTGAACGTGTGCGCATATACGCCGCGGTTTCTACAGACAATACCGATTTATCACCGCAGCATTTGCATGCTCGATAGATGCGCCAGCAACAGAGAATGCCTAGATAATCCAAACATAAGATAACGGTCCTGCGTAGGAAGCAATACGGTCGTTATAAATTGACAGTAACATTCGCGTGTCGAGAATAAGGATACATGACAGCAGTGTATAAATTTCCGATTGAATTACTAGAATATTGCTTAAGCGATGACATAATAGACAATCAAGGAAAAAAACACATTCTCCACATTTATTAATGGATTCATTAAATGGACCAATAAAAGGCGCGCGCGCGCACACGCACACGCACACGCACAAAATTAACTGTAAGGTGTGTAAATATCTCGGAATTCTTCAAAAAAGAGTTTTACGTAACATTTTGCTTGCTTACCATTAAAATATTTAAGTATTTAAAAATTGTTGAAAAATACGACGCAAGCTCTTGCACAAATGTTTGATATTAAATTAAAATACTACTTTAATATAGTGATTATATTAAACATAAATTTTTAATTTAATATTATTATAAATTTTTAATTTAATTCGTGTTTCGCTTACCAAGGTTATTCCAACTACCAAGACTTTATTAAATTTTTCTTCGTAAATATAACTCATACGTACTTGAATTTCAGCACGTGATACCTACGTTATTCGCCATGGCGAGTATAACGCTTATAACGAATTCTTATCTTTAACCTAAATAAATATCATTAATGTAAGGGTAGAATATCTCGTGCGGAACATTGTAGAAATTAAAGATAATGTATCAATTATTCTCTCATCAACGAGAGGAACATACGAGTGAAGTTGAAGGCACTACATACATGTCGTTTCACTATTGGTCATTTAATCGATATACACCAGAACTACATAGCAGTTGGTCGCGACGTAAACAGGTCTTTATCATTACGTAGGTTTATCTGGAGTAACCCAGTTTAATTATTTATATCATTGAATGAAAAAAAAAACGGTGCCTCTAAATGTCAGAACTTTGTTGACTACGTCAACAGCATAGACGCAGACGATTAATACTGCAAAGATGGAGATAGCTGCAACTCATTCATAATTCTGCGATCCTTGCATCTTATTCTCTTTTCTGTCTCTGTTTCATGATTTGAGAATTATCGCGAGAAATATACGCACGTCTAGAAAGTGAAATAGATTCATATAATCACAGAACAATTAAATCGCGAGCACATTTAATGTATAACATGCATAATGCGCAAAGAATAGAACGGTTGGCTAACTACAGCGTGAGATGCAATTAATGGAGATTGCTGAGATTGAAGATTGCGTTTAATGGCCGTTACGTAATATCAATATTTATAAATTAACATCTGTATAAACGTTAAATCGACGATGTAATAATTCAACATACACCTACACATTAAATGTTTACTAAACTGATTATTTTAATTCGAGAAACAGATTCAATACTATCTTCGATAATGGTGTATTTTAATTTAAAAAACAAAGAATTAAATATGTTAAGTATATCGATAAAATGTAGTATATGTATAACAATTATAATATAATGTATTTTGCCCACATATGAAATTTTGTGGCATTAAAAAGACAAATAGGAAGAGTATAAAATGTTATATATATTTAAGAAAAACTATTAATATATAAATCTCTGTTTTCAGATTTTTTTCCACACTAATGTGTAAACTGATTGTGAGTTATATATAGCAAATTGCAGCTATTGAATTCTCATTCACTGTACACATACTAAAATAATCGCAAAGAGGAAGGACCATTCAACCTACTCTGTAGCCATTCCGTAGCCGGAACTGCCCAAAGACTATATGATCTCCGAACAGAGAAAACACACATTCTCATTCACAAAGAGCCGACCACACAGCTTTTGGCTTTAACCATTAGTACAGCCGACCGTAAACAGTGTCGGCAGTAATTCCCTCGTGAAACAACACTCTCGCACACGTCGCAACGTATCGCACTGCTAGTAATTCCTACCTTCGTTCTCGTTATTTCCAATCAGGATCTCGGTGTCTTTGAAATCCGCCTCTCTGACCAAATCCAATGGATCCTTAGGCAGGAAGACCCCGTCGATGGTGGGCGCCGACGGGAAGCCGAGAATGCCCCAATAACTGTTCCACTGCTGCACGGAGAGAGTTTTCGCGTCTACCGATCTCATGCAGGCCATAACACGTGCCGGGTTTTCTTGCAGCATTGTCGAATTGCATCCACAATCGTCCACCAGCACTCGAGCCACCTCGTTTGCCTTTTCGCCGGTCATGTAACTCCATGGGGCGTTGAGGGTGCCACTCTGAAGGATACCTCGACGCACTAGACCTTGCGTAACCGGTGAGATGAGATGTAAGGACACTGAACTACCACCCGCAGACTCGCCAAAGATCGTAATCAAGTCAGGATCACCGCCGAAGACGCGCGCGTTTTCACGGAGCCACTTAAGTGCCAAGGCCTGATCCCAGAGACCCATGTTACCTGGCGCCTCCTCGCTATTGGTAAAGTGCTGATTGAGATACAGAAAACCGAAAGCCCCGACACGATATTGTATCGAAGCGATGATCGCATTACCGGCCGCCGCCATAATATCGGCATCGTAGACGTCCAGGGTGGCGGTACCGCTCATGAAGCCACCTCCATAGACCCAGACCAATATCGCCATACCGTTATTACCGACGCTGTCTGGCGATTCCTTGTGACGTAGACGCAGCTTCTGCGGCACCCAAATGTTGAGATACAGACAGTCCTCGGAGATGTTGGTGTTAGGATTCCACATCTCCTCACCCTCAAAGCCCGGAAAGTACTCGTAACGCTCTTGATAGCAGCTATTGGGCAACGTGGTGGCATTCAGGACCCCGTGCCAGGGCTCGATCGGCAGCGGCTTGCGAAATCGCAGAGGCCCAACCGGAGGTTTCGCGAACGGCACTCCGTAGAACACGTGAATCTCACGATCGAGCACCATACGAGAGAAACCGCGCATCAGCCCACTAGTAGTCTCCACCACTAAGGAATCATGACCACCGTCCTGATTACCGTGCTGACCGTTCGCTCGCGTAATGCACGCGCTGTGCAGGCTCAAGCCTAACAGCAACAGCAGCAAAGAGGACGGATAGTTCATCCAAGAACTCATAATCAGACCGAATGTCTTAATCGCACTCGAAGGAACTCACTTTCGTTAATCGGTCAAGATTGACGTCTTCGAGAGTGTCTCTCTTCAAAAATCCTCTTCCGGACAATGAAAATAGGTGCACACTGTGTGACTTGGCTGTTTGTCCATCGGTATGTGCCCGCAATATATGCGGTACTCCCGCGTTGGCGTTATGGGGAAATGAGCTGGTCGAATTTTCACCCGACACACGTCGACTTCATCAGATTTTCAGGAGAGAGACGCTTCGGGCGTTGTCTCTTGTCGTTGTCGTTGTCGTCTTCGTCTTCGTCTTCGTCTCCGTCTTCGTCGTCACCGTCTGGGAAGGAGTTTCCTTTTATGCATACGGTGCATCGGAAGGATCGCGATATCGGACAGGAGATGCCGGAAGAGTGATTCTTCCTTTCGTGAAGAGTAAGACGATTTTGAAGGATAGAGTTTCCTTAGGAATCGTCGATCTTGTTCAAGCTGCACTCAATGCACTTTGCGTGTTGCTTTTTAGTGGAGAAATACTTTGCCATTCTCTATAAAAAGACACTCGCTATGTTTTTACTTCTCTGTGCATTTATATTGGATATCGGTCCTTGAAAAACGATAACCTTCGCAATCCGCTATTATCACAGATACATAAATACAATTTAATGAATTTATATTTATTGGATTGCTCGCAATTTGCCTAAGAATTGGCATTCAAATATGCTATGCATTAAACTAAAATAATAAAATAATTTTGCGATTGTGTTATCGCGATTACGTATCTAACTTTTAATTCTCGCGCAATAATTATAAACTCGCGAAGGAATAGAGATAAAAATATAAAAATAACTTATTGTTTATACAGTTATTAAGTACTATTATTATTTAAAAACAAGAATATATCGAATCCCTTTTAATCATAATTCATTAGAAAACCACAGCTTGTACACGGGGAACTTTATTCCTTCAAAATACTCTACTCTTTTAAAAAAGAATCATCTTTCGTACAATAACACTAGTCATTTGAATTACATTTGCTTTAAGAGTTCTATTAATAAATTAATTTAGTTCAAAATTAATTCTTGATTTATATCAATAATATATGATGCATGATCATTGTAGAAGAATATACCGAAACAATAAATTTCTGTTCGATTACTTGAAATATCACTAAAATCAAAATATTTTGTTAAAACGTGAATCATACATTAAATTCTACACTGCAATGTATTATATTACACTGGATATTTCCATCAAAACGTTCTAACAAAACGTTTATAGATCATTCAGAAATAATATCCATGTAAAAAGATTTAGAATTGTCATAAAGTGTGTCCCATGGGCAGCATATCTACCAAGAGAGAGAGACTCAACAAGTTAGCGAATGAAAAGTCAACATTTCCGCAATGGAACAGTAATTTTTCTTTTTTGATTCTCTAAGCCTATTTAAAAAAAGAGAAGAAGGAAATGAGATATATACACTTTGACAAATAAATCAATTCACTTATTGATAAAATTTAATGTTTGATAAGAAATAGCTTGATGTAATAATAAGAATAATTTATTACAGTTTTTACTTGAAAATAGTCATAACATTATCACGTGTTATAACAAGTCATATTACTTAATGATATAAACATAAAACAATGATTATTTTGATAAATAGTCATCTACGCGCGAGTTTCTACAATTTAACTTAAGGTAATTAATTTTTATTTGATTCTTTCGATTTCCAGAAGGATTAAAACGAGATAGAAAGTTTATTAGATTAAAATTAACATTTTGACGTAAAAGTAGCCGTATGCATATCGATTACTATAATCATGTAAATTGTAAATTATGCTTCGTATGGATAATCATATTCCTACTTCACTTTCCGACTATCGCATTATACCGTTTGTGTGTGACACATGATAATAATTTCGTATTTCGCGAATCAATTTCTACTTCCGAATATGTAGTATCCGCTGTAAACCGCAACGCCGGAATACCGCACGGTGTCGATTGCAATAATACAGTCCACCACGAATCATCATTAAAGCTTCATGAACCAAAGACATGCAGAATTCTGCGACGGCGTATGCATACTATTAAACCGTTAAGCATCTATCACGCTTCGTACTATTTAAAACATCAAATTGGATATCCACATTTACTAAAAATTTCGTTAAGATCGACTAAAATATCTTATTAGCAAAAGAAGAGAGCTTTCTTTCTTAGAAAATCACTTCATTATACATCCTGAAATCTGCTTTTAGACCCATTAAAAGCTCATGCGTATCAATTTATTAAATATAAATAATTGACAAGTACATCTCATTTTTACCAGCATTAACACATATTCAATGATTTTAAATTCAAATATTCGATTATTCGATATATTAATAGCAGAAATAAAATCTACTTTATCACTCAAAATTCGATTCTCATTGGTCACTTAGTTAATCTCATTTTCCTAACAATGTAAGAAAAATAATTAATAAAAAATAACTAATAGAAAGTAAAAATATAACACTTGCAACTTAATCCTTTCGACAAACAATTTTTTTTAAATCTACTGTCGAGCTGTTGTTTTTTTTTCGGCTAGAATCCGTTCACCGTTGCAAAATTTGTTATACTTGTTTATACTTTCCTGGAAAAGAAACAATCAACTAAGGTTTAAAAAAGATCAATTAATTACAAAAAAATAGGGGGACATATTATGTCAGATAGGAATATAAGGTATCACGATTCCGAGAGGTAAAAAGAAAGAATAGCTTAAAATTAAAAAATTTGGTCTATTCTAAGTTTAGTCATATTCTCAAAAATTAAGAATACGACTAAAGAATATTTCATTATGTATTCTTCGTATTACAAGAAAACGAACTTTTCTCCAGACATAAAGACACGTTATTTCGTTTTGAATAATGGATCACTGCTACTTCGTAAAGAACAAATTTAGTATAGCTTCTTTATATTAAGTTGTAAGTATAACAACAAACAATTCCTCCGAGATATATTTTCTCAAATAATCTTTTGACCTGATTAACTAAAATAATTCTAACGCTACTTTTTAGAGAGAGAAAATCGCCATTGTCCCTTTCCACCATAAAGTCACGCCGATAGCCACACACAAGCTATTCCTCATCAAAACCACGAGCTTTCAAACGGCCAATTTCCACCCTCTAACCCGATCATCCCCGTCACAATCCTTCTTCTCTTCTTTCTCCGTTTCCTCCTTCCTTTCCTCTTCTTGCTTTCTAAACTCACCCTACTTTCCCTCCCATGCACACTCCTGTACACAATATACACGCACGCGCGCAGAATATACAGCTCTCAAAATCGCTTCCGTTTATTCGCCCCTCTATTCACCCCCCATAAAGTATATCGTTTCAGAAGTAATTTGGCGTCGCTCCTCGTGATGTACTCCTATTCTCTCCTTGCTTCTCAATGACAATCGTTGTAAATTACGATTTCGACTTTACGATTCCGGCGGGCTTTCACGAAGAGCGCACCACATATGTGGATACAATATTACGCGGCAACCGGCATGCCGCGATGCACGGGGTCGACTGATCAAGGAGGCAGGAATGGAGGTGGTGCTGATGGTGGTGGCGGCGGCGGTGGCATGGCGGTGGCACGGCGGCGGCGGCGGCGCGGCGGCGGCGTGGCGGCGGCTC